TTTAATATATAATTCAGATTACATACAGTTCTGTAAGTCGTACCAAATTCTGAAATGATTTTCGAATTGTGAGTTTAAATTGAATCCATGAATCAGCTTAGTGACTACTGAGAGAGAAGTTTTTCAACTTGACCGTAGGAACATTCTAAAGGTTTATAAATAATGTGGTAGCTATTAAATGTATAAAAGATCACCATGTCAATGTTATAAGTTTGTGTTGCATCATTACCACACCAAGGAATAATCATGAGTAACACCACAACAGATTTGGTATGCTTCAGTGACACTTCATATCAGGTTAGAGGACACACAGTTCAACACCAATAGTGAAAACTAACAATGTACAGCCATAACAAGAATACTTTTCGAATGAGAATTGGCTTAAATTCTGTTATATTTGCTTATAACACTGATATGACACTTTCTGTACAGCTGATACAAGATGTTCTAGTTTATGATAAGTTCATTGGCAGAGTCCAGGGGCTTGAAATGTGCATCAACAATTTCCGACGTAACTTCATTTATGGTAGCAGGATTCCATTTCGGTGAATTGTCTTTATCTACCAATACAGCACGGACGCCTTCATAGAAGTCATGGCCAGCCTATAAAAAAAAACATTGTATGATCTCTGAATTGTTTATTTTTGATATATAGACCTGTGTTTTTTTAAATACTGTCAATCTATATTGTTGATTTTTCTGTGAATTATCAGAATGGTAAGCACTTAGTCAGGTCGAGCAAACTCTGAACCAGGATGCTAAGCATAACTAGGTGTTAACAAGGGTGATGTTCTCAGAACAAAAATTACATGCATATACAGAAAATCTATGAAAATTGTGCAACAATATGCAGAACATGTTTTAGGAAAGGTACAGAAATATGCAGGGCATTTCCTGGAACAACGCAGCAATATGCAGGATATGCAGGACATGTCTAAGAACGTGTAGTGATATGTAGAACATTTCCAAGAACGGGTCAGCAATATGAAAATCATGTCTAGGAACTTGGGCAGAGGGTACTCAGAACCCGCCTATTCACATAGTCCATACCCACCATAGACTCCGGTCAGTCAAAATGACTATTTTGAACCTGGATATACCCTCTCTACCTAGTTGAGACCAGTGAAGTAATGGTGTCTATCTTGCCAGTGCCATCCCCGGAACAAAGCCAAGTGCTGAACGGTGACGGGGTTCAGTATGCTCGAAAACGCTTGACCCAAACTCTTGGACAACTTCTCCGCACAAATCTGTAGCAGAGAGTCCTCTATCTCCTATGAGCAGGGATTCCTGAGATCGTCCGGGTAGGGTCAGTAACCAAAGCCTGACCCACTATGACGGAACCCTCCTTAAAAAGACCCTTCTCAATGGATTGGGTATCTTTTAGGTTAAAGTGGTAAAGACATTTGCATTCTCCAGAAGCCTGCCCTCTGCACATGCTCGAGGGGGGCACTTGACGCAAGAGCTAATGAGTTAGCAATCGTACTCGGTGGATCTTAAACCCTGTGTTGAGAAAGCCTGACAGCTTACCCTGGCCATAACACATAAACCTGTGCTTGATGCCATGCCATGACTCCTTAGTACGGCTCTCGTAGCAACTCAGCGCTCGAACCGGGCAGAGAAACAACTCCTCGTGATCCTCCGGGTTGGCAATGTTGCCAGCCAGGGAATGACGATCGGTTGTGGATCGCGTCCCCGGATTTGATTCATGACGAGAAACCCAATTCGTGTCTTTATCACGACTTGATTGTCCATAAAGGTGGTACACCCATCCGAGAAGGACAGTGCGCCTAGCTCTGACCGGCGCCTACCTGAGGCGAGTAGGAAGACTATTTTCCACGTCAAAAGTATGAGTGGTGCTGATCGGAGAGGCTCAAAGGGCAGCCTGCTTAGAGCAGCCAACACAACCGATACCAGTTACCAATTGGTTGATTCCCTCATTCAGGGTCTAGGCCTTTGATCAAACAGTAAACAGTCTCCTAATGGAATGACAACCGGCTAGCCTCGTTCCCAGAGAATTCTCAATGGTGGGGGACAAGGCTGACCTATAGGCAACAATCACTGAAAGGACAAGTTCATTTCGTCTAAATGATGGACGAGAAGTCAGCTGTCTGGCCAACAGAGTGATGAACGGATCTCCCTTCCGCTACACCAATCAGTGTATGCACGGGAGAAACCAAAGGATCTGATCGGGCGCGAGATTGGACTCCAGACTCTGCTGGCTCCAGTCTCAACCACCGCTCGATCAGGTAGCGCTTGGTCCAGCGGAAAGGGTTGACCATACACAAATAGCATTGCTATGTGGGTAGCAGGCTGGCAATTCCCGAAGAAGAGCCTTGGTGTGTTACCGTTCTTGCTATCCATTTCCTACAACACATTGGTAAAAAAAAATGAACAAGACATGCATGAGAGAAACGAATTACAGTTCAAAATAGTCATTTCGACTGACCGGAGTCTATGGTGAGTAATTGAACTTAGTGAATTGTGCAGCAATATGCAGAACATTTAGCTAGCTTCAACCTAACCTAGTTATATTTCAGCTTGTGTTTAAAACTGTTATGTGTATTATGCATGGTAATCTGCATAAATAATTTGGAAGGTATACTAGAAGGTATACTAGAAGGTATACTAGAAGGTATACTAGAATGTATACTAGAATGTATACTAGAAGGTATACTAGAATGTATACTAGAATGTATACTAGAATGTATACTAGAATGTATACTAGAATGTATACTAGAATGTATACTAGAATGTATACTAGAATGTATACTAGAATGTATACTAGAATGTATACTAGAAGGTATACTAGAAGGTATACTAGAAGGTATACTAGAAGGTATACTAGGTATACTAGGTATACTAGAAGGTATACTAGAAGGTATACTAGGTATACTAGAAGGTATACTAGAAGGTATACTAGGTATACTAGAAGGTATACTA